GGGCGGGGACCCGGGCCCACCTCCCTCGGCTCCTCGCTCCGGGGGGGCCCGCGCCCCCTCAACCCAACCCCTCCCCTCCCGTCCCGGCCTTTCAATCCCGCCAACTAGTCATGCTGGGAAAAGGGCTGCGTCAAGGCCAAGTCTGCTTTTCGCTTGAAGTTTCCAAGGAATCAAACCTATTATTACGTTCTGCCGCCGACGTTTCTGCAGCCTCTGCCCCGCGGGCCGGGCTGCGGAAGCGGGGTCGGGGGCGCGGGCGAGCGGGGTCGGGGCCGCCCCGGAGCGCGCCTTCCCGGGGCCCGCAGCCCGGGAGGGGCTTCTCGAATTAGCTGGAACTTTTCGGAGACAGAAATCTGCGTTGGCCGCTCTTTGTCGGGAAAATGAAACGCGCGAATACGCGTGTTATTCTTCCCCCACATGCAGGATTTTAATAGACCTATCAGTCACCGCCGCCCGACGCGCATCTGCACATCAGGCGCGCTCTACGCGCTACCCGTTTTGAAATTAGTTCATTTCTCCGGCTACCGGTGGGTTTCTTTGGCGGGGAGGAGAGGGTAGGGTCAAAGTCTTAACAACAACGAAAGGGGCCTGTGAGTTTAAAATAAAATAGGGGCGGGGGGCGGAGGGCAGAAACGAGCAAAAAATTCCTCCAGCAAACAAACCGTGCTACCCTCAGCCTGGAGAGCCGGGCGGCGCACCGAGGCCGGTTCCCGAACTCCCGCGGTCGCCCCGGCACGAAGTTGTGCAAACTTTGCACAAGGCCTCCAAACACTCTCCGCGCTCGCCACACGGTTTTCATACAAAATTGGAATAAGCGATAGAAGTACCGCCCTGGGATCTGGAAGTGGATGAGGCCATCACAGTATAATGATGGTCACATAACATTTTCAGTTCGTGAATAGGGTGAGGGGTACCTTGGCAAGAACGGAATTCACAGTTGAGTGAGACGTCTCAGGAGCCTTGTGGAATATTCTCACCGCGAATTTAAATCGAAGAAACAGTGATGGAATGATAAGATCTCAATCCTGAAGGAAGAATCCTAGCTAATTTCTACTCCCCCATCCCAGGCTGTTTTAAAATTGAATCATTAAAGAATTTATATTTGCTTTCCTTCACATTGTTCTAGTCAACAAAACTGCTGGATTTCAGGAGTTCCTCTTTTAAGATCTTCCTGTGTTTTTAACAAAGTGGCTTTTGGGCCACCTGGCATTGACTATTTCTGCTGACTCTGTATGAGGCAGACAGGGGGAAATGCCACACTGTAAGTCCACCTTCCAGGAAATCGACAGACAGCTCTGCCCAGAGTCCCCCACACTGAGGCAGACAGGGGGAAATGCCACACTGTAGTCCACCGTCCAGGAAATCGACAGACAGCTCTGCCGAGAGTGCCCCGCACCCTGCTAAACTTTTTATAGTCAGAAGCATTTCAGGTGTTACCCACATTACTAATATTCTTATGCCAATAGTCGAGCATAGATACAAGTTTGGTTACACATATATTCGAGCACAACCCCACATCTGTCTGCCACCGTAGTAAGTGCAGGGAGATGCTGCAAAAGAGCCAGCAGGAGTCCACTGAACTCTGTATATTTCAGAGTAAATGAGGCCTGCACCTTAGGCTGCATGGGGAGTTCACAGAGCATCACATAATTTCCTCTCCCAGAGGGCACTTGTGTGTGGCATTTATTCCCAGACTATCTCACTACCTGAAGATGCTGTTCTGCTCAGCAGTCCCTATGTATGCAAACACATCAGATTGCTAAAGCAAAAAAAAAAAAAAAAAAAAAAAAAAGGGAGGGAAAAGAAAAAAGAGGGAGACTTTATTATCTTGTTAGAAAGAAGCAATTGACGTCATTCTTGAAATTTCTGCAATCACCTTAAGGAATGAGTGGTTGAGGCAAAATTATCAAAGTGACTCCAAAAAATTACACATGTCAATTGTCAGGTGAGCATTTTACTTAAAACTATTCTCCAGCACAGGCTGAATGTAGTTCTCATTAACCTGCTAGCATAGGCCCATGTTTGGAAGTATAGTCTATACTCATTCCAGGACAAAAAAAAAAAAAAAAAAAAAAAAAAATGTAAAAAAAAGGGGGGGGTGAAAAAATCAACATATTTCCATCTGGCCTAAAAGTTTGTTCTTTTCAAAAATATTTCATCTTTATGCTGTGACTAATGTCAAAACGTATTTGCTACAGTATAACTTTTAAATGCAATATTTAATGCTGTCAGATTACTTGAAGACAAAGTTTTACAGAAAACTTTAAAATCCAGAAAAAAACTGCAAGGTACCAACAAACACCTAGAAAAAATATAATTAAAAAATTTAAAGCATCAAACAACCTCAGATCTCATTAGGAATAATAAACACCGCATTTTGCGTTCACATCGGTTAACAACTTGCATCCCAGTGTCACGGCGGGGCATGTGGGGCGGTCGGTTCTGTGTGTGTGAAAATCCAACAAAATTATTTTGTCCCTTTCCAAAGAGACATATACCAGAGGGAGGGGCCTCTGTTGCAGTACCTTTTGGTTTAGAGAGTGCGTTTCCTTGAGCCAAATTCAGAAAATTCCACTCGCAATCTTGTTAACTGCCCGGGAGTCGGGGGCCCCCGCGCCCCCGCCGTGGTCTCTGTCACCCATCCTTGGCCTGGTCCCGCCACTGGGGTCTTCTCTCCTCCCTCCGCCGCCCCAAACTGCACTCAGGTCCCGGGCCAGCTGCAAGAGGCAAAGTCCGAAACCAGGGATTGAAAAGCCCGCCGGCAGCGGCCGGCAGCTAAAAACTACACACCCAACGGCCGGACTACAAAACTATAATTTTTTTTGGGGGGGGGGGAGCAATTATTTCTCGTTCCGTAATAACACTGTAAACGCTACAAAATAATCTACCGATTTTAACTTCCCTCCGTTCCTCTGAATGCAGCTCCATGAAAACCGTACCCTCTCCCCTGGTGTTCCCTCCGTTTCAGTTCATGCCGATAATTTTCCTTTCTCCTTAGTCAGATTTACTGATTGTGTTTTGAGCTCATAAAACATAAATCTAAATTTAGCACGTTTCAAGTTTAGGGGGGAAAACAGGACTTTTCTCTCTCAAATTTATTGACTCAAAGCTCGATGCACTTTTAGGGTGGAGGTTCCTTTACCGTTTTGAGAAGAAAGGCTTTTCGGGAAACTATGTACATAATCTGAATCCTCCTCCCCACACCGCAACGCCTCCAATAAAAACTTCACAACGCGTTTACATGAAATAATACAAAACAAAAACCCGGAAATGCTCAGATACAGAAAGTTTTACAAAACCCAGAATAACGCTGCCGTCTGAAAGGGGTGCGGGTGGGGATCTCTTGGTATAAATTAACCAACCAATCCCCCAAGGCGGTAACGACCACCAAAAGCGTGTGTTTGGCTCTGGCTCACTACACCGATAACAAATGAGAACAGCTCCCCGCGTCGCCGGCACCCGACGCCGTCAGGAGGCGATGCGGCCGGAGGGCGGGCGCGCGGCCGGGATAGAAAAAAGCTGGCGTCGCCTCTCGCTTGGTTTGGTCTCTGTGTCCCCTCGAGCAAAGAAAACGCTTTCTGCCTCCGCGGGTGATAAATACTGTACAAAAAGTCTCAAGAAGACACCGAAGTTCAGTCTCAAACGCACAACGGTCCCGCCTAGCGGTCCCCAGGAGCTCCCGGTTAGGGGGGCCGGGTGTCACCTGGTGCTCGGCGCCAGTGTTTGCCTGTTTACGAGAACGTGGAAACGTCTGTACAAAAGCCAGGCGGCGCGTCGCCGGCCGCAGGGCCCCCCGCGTCCCTAGATGTGCGTCAGGGGCACCGTGCCGTTGACGCCCGCGCCCGCGCCCTGGTAGTGCTGCGGCAGCGAGTGCAGCCGGCTCTGCGCCGCGGCTGCGGCCGCTGCCGCCGGGTCGCCGCCCTCGCCGGCCGGCAAGTACATGCTGATCATCTCGCGCAGGTCCCCGGGGCACGGCCTGGGGCAGGGACCACAGGAACCGGGCCAGGCGGTCCAGGTTGCCCCCCTGCTGCAGCGCCTCGCACACGCAGGCGACATGGTCGGGCGAGAAGGCCAGTGGGGTCTGCGCGGCGGCGGCGGCGGCGGCCGCGGCGCCGTAGGGGAGGCCGCCGTAGCCCGAGGGCGAGGCGCTCATGTAGCCCTGCGAGTTGGAGATGGGGCTGTACTGCAGCGCGCCCATGTCGTAGCGGTGCATGGGCTGCGGGTTGTGCGGGTGCGCGTGCGGGTGGTGCGGGTGCGGGTGCGCCGGGTGCGCGTGCGGGTGCGCGCCGCCCGCGCCCGGATGTTGCCCGTAGGCCAGCTGCGCCTCCTGCATCATGGCCGCGGCCGCCGCCGCCGCCGCCACCGAGCCGGGGTAGGCGCCGTTGGCCCAGCCGTTGACGTGCGCGTACGGCCGCCGCGCCCACACCCACACCCACGCCCATGGCCACGGCCGTGCCGCCGCCGCCCGCGCCTGCCGCCAGCAGCCCGCCGGCCAGCGAGTACTTGTCCTTCTTGAGCAGCGTCTTGGTCTTGCGGCGCGGCCGGTACTTGTAGTCCGGGTGCTCCTTCATGTGCAGCGCGCGCAGCCGCTTGGCCTCGTCGATGAAAGGCCGCTTCTCGGCTTCGGACATGACCTTCCACTCGGCGCCCAGGCGCTTGCTGATCTCCGAGTTGTGCATCTTGGGGTTCTCCTGGGCCATCTTGCGCCGCTGTCCGCGGGACCACACCATGAAGGCGTTCATGGGCCGCTTCACCCGGTCCTGGTTGGCCTTGGCTCCCGCGCCGCCGCCGCCGCCGCCGCCGCCGCCCCCGCCCGCCCCGGCCGGGCCCGACAGGTTCGTGGGGGCCTGGGCGCCGCCGGGCGAGTGCAGGTCGGTCTCCATCATCATGCTGTACATCGGGGCGGCTC